CCGCGCAGTTGAAAAATAGCGCTAAAAAATTATGATTTGAATAAATTCCGCGCTGTGAGCTTTTTAGGGGGAAATGAACGTCGCCAATCGTTGGAGGAATCATCGATTGGGTTTGGAGGAATTATAGATTATAACCAGGGGTAATTCAGGGTTGGAACAAGGTAGGGTCTGAGCAAATCTAGATTTGGAAGTAGGATAGGAACAAAACCTCTATGGTTATGGAATATCTTTCATGAGAAATCCACCTTCGCCTCCACAGTTTTCCGTAGGACCGTCACATTTAGAAGTAACGTTAGTTCAGTTGCTAACGTTCTGTGAGTTCTCCTGCAAGCCAATCTCAAGTGCTCCGCTCATGTATTGAAATTCCATAAGTTTTTGTCAGCAAAGCCAACCGTAGGCTCTATTAGGCTCTATCTGGTACGTGTCTTAAAGGAACATGGATATAGAGATAACGACCTGATGCTAGTTTTATGTGGTTGTGTTCGACCGTTGTTAGAATATGCCTGTTCAGTGTGGCATCCTGGCCCCACTACTCTCCAGTCAGAGCTCATGAATGTGGGCGTGTAGAGTAAAATCAGTAATTCTAGAAAGAAACTATGCCTCAATTTACACACAAAATTCTTGAGACATCTCAGCAAAATATTTTTGGAGACGTCTCAGTAATTCCTAAATTTTCAAAAAAAAAATTGTGTGTAAATCATGCCAATGTTAGCCATGACAGAGCATTTGAAGAGCTGTGTCTCAGTACCTGAGACAACGCCATCTGTGCATGAATTTTGCAGTTCCTATGTATAAATAATAGTAAATTCTGTCTTCTCTATTTGGCTACCTCTGCAACGAAAAAGCTTACAGGGCAGAGAACAAAGGACAACTTCATGCAATTCAGCTGTAGAATTTCCAGATTTAGGAATAGTACCTTGCCTTTTACTGTACAGTTATTGAATGGATTTTAATCAATGCAATAGTACCTTGTCGTTTAGCTTTTAATGAATTAGGAACAGTGTCTTGCCTGTAAGTGTATAGTTATTTATAGGATTTTAAGAATTGCTTTTGTCTCATGCCCTAATTCATACAGGTAAGGCTGCAATGGTATGAGTGTGCACATGTTGCAAATGAACCAGTCGTCTATCTCTCTATCTATCTGATGATACTTAGTTATTGTGTCTATTGCCTTTTTCCAAGGGGAAGCACGATCACTCTCGCTTGCATATTCAACTGACGGCGGCGAACCTTTCAGTCATCTAAAGATACCACATTCTGTATGGCCACAGATCCTGAAGATCTTCAATTTTCCACCAGAGCTGCGAAACAAAACAGGACTATACATCCTGTTAGGCATGATTCCGGGTAATTCTTATGATTCATCTGTACTCAAAGCCCTGATTTTTCCTGTGGCATTTCAGCTACCCTGATCTGTTTGTTGGTGTGACATATACTCTCGGTGAAACTTGGGTCTTCAGACAAATGCTTTTAATGAAGCATCACACTATATGCTTTTTTCTTTATTAATTTTCTTCCAGAAAAATACAACTAATAAAAATATCACAATTTTTCATGTGTTTGTCAAGGGCTACATTACATTGTGAACATATTTCACACTTCCTACAATAACATAAACTGATTTAAGTCATGTAGAGTTGAGCATATGTGTCCTACAACTGTAATAAAAGTTCGTCTCGGTTCTAGCCTGGTTGTAAGACACTTTTAACAATGCTTTTTATTATAAAATGTGCACTTTGAGTTATATTATGGATTCAGATTGTTATTTGTTACAAGGTTCTAATTTCCTCCATTGCTTCTAATCCATCTACAGGCCCCAAGGCCCCACACAACATGGATGCCTTCCATCAGCTCATGGTAGAGGAACTTTTGTCCCTGACGAAGCCAGGCATCAGAGTGTGGGATGCATACAAAGGAGTATTTCACACATACCGCTGATGTCCTGGCATACATCTTTGACTGGCCTGCCCGATCGAAGTGCACGTGCCACCAGGGTGCCAGAGCCACGTCTGCCTGCCCCTTTTGCCATATCATATGACAAGTAAGTCTATTCAACAGTTATCTATACATAGGACTGATTTATTTGAATGTATCTAATTCTACCCAAACCTTCAAATTCAATGGATAAGATTTCTAGAAGAAGGTGTATGAAGTTTGAAGGTGTATATTTTATTTGTTAGTTGTCTTGGGGCAACATACTGAAACAATGGTGATTTGATTGTGTCTTGTTTGTTTGACTGATTTCTGTATCGGTAACATCAAAATCAGTGTACCAGTTACTTTGCATCTGACTGATTGTGAAGACGTTGAAGGGGGTATTTTATGCTCCACCATGTAAAAATTTTGTTCAGAATTTTTTAAGCTCTGGAACCAAATTGTGACATGGAGTGTGATGACAAACGATAAAACACCAACAAGTAGGGGAAAAGCTTCATCTGCATCTGTATCTGTATCAATATAGCCGGTATAACCGCCTCCCGGCGTAACACACCAGCTTCGCAGGCACGCGGCGCAGCGGCAGCTAGTACATTACACCGAACGACTTGTTGCACCTATGCTTTGAACCTCTAGCTCTAAGCTTTGTTTAAAGCTATCTAATGTTGACGCCCCTACTGTACTTGGTGGTAGCGAGTTCCACTCTACGATAGTTCTAGGAAGAAACGAGTTTTTGAACACCTCAATTCTTGGTTGATAGCTCTGATACTTGTAAGCATGACTATTTCTTGTTCTCTTTTGAGCTGGTATAAGGTACTCAGTAGTTGGTACATCCACTAGTTGATGAGACATTTTGTACATCATACATAGTCTGGACATTTTTTCGCCTGTCTTCCAGAGACACCCACTGTAGGTTTGTTTTCATTTCTGTGACACTAGCACCCCTTCCATAGTTGTTCGTACAGAATCTTGCAGCTTGGTTCTGTACTCTTTCTAGTTTATCTTTGTCTTTCTTTGTATATGGATCCCATACAGTCGCGGCATATTCTAGGTTTGGTCTTACAAGCGATGTGTATGCAAGTGATTTTACTCTAGTTGGGCATGCCCACAGATTACGTTTGATCACACCCAATGTCTGTTTAGCCTTAGTTGTGATATTGTTTACATGCTCACTCCACTTCAGGCCGCTTGTTAGTGTCTTCATAACTCAGACAATAAAACTCGGTTCACTCCTGTGAAGAATATGTTCATTTTTGTTTCAGCGACAACCTGGTCTGAATTCCATGTGACAACATGTGGAAGCAGCAGATGCTTCCTTCCAGAGAACCATCCTCTCCGGTTGGATGACAAACACTTTCCTGACAAACGTGTAGAGGACCAAGCAGAGCCACCTCCCCATGAGGACCTAGAGGCTTATGGAAAAGCCTACGACATACTCGACGAGGTGATTGAGCGAAAGAAGAGAGAGGGGAATACCCAGGGAATAAGGTACTAACTTCTCAAACTACCAACATCGCAGATGTCAGTACATGTAGTTTGATATGGATGTATGCACAGACGGTGCCATTCTATCCAAAAGTTACCTGTAAGAAAAGGGGCCAACAGATGTGTTAAGTTTAAAAATTGCTTCTGGGACTACCTAGTACATGTAGTGTATACAAATAGTTAGACGGTAATAAATTGCACTGACAGATGTGTGGATGACAAGGGCAGTCACTGTTTACATTTACAAATCCATTGAATTTTTTTTAATAGAAAGTTTTTAGACACTCACATTATGGCATTTCTTTTTATTCAAAGTGACCATAACAATTTTTTTAAGGCCCCTGCAGACAGCAAGGAAAGTACTCCAACAAAACACTGGCAAGACAGGCGAGGAGATGTTAGCATTCATTCCAATGTACAATATCAAGCGGATTCCGGTCGACTGGATGCATACAGCAAAGGTGACTAAGTTAGTGTATATGTCAAATTTTGACAATACTAAATGGTAGCACTATATTTAGATACAGATTTTTTTACACCTTTAGTATATTAAAACAGTTTGAACTTTGACGTCAGATATGTAACTGTGAAAAATGTAAGCCTCACCTGTGAATGTAATGAACACCATGTAAAAGTAATAGGTATTTTTATTTACAACTTTACACTGCATTTTCTCTACAAAATGCACTTTCCAACACATCATCAACTTTGTCAAAAATTCTGATCAAAACCATCATTTGCAGAATATCGCTCACAACGCCATGGAGGTCCTGACTGGGTCGAAACACAACTTCCAGACTCTTGTGCGGATGGAGAAGTCACTGGGTCGCTTGTATGTGTATTTTACAAGTATATGATTGTAATTACTAATAGTGAAATGATACTGTTAATACACCCATTTGCAGTTCCTTGTAACATTTCGTGTACAATCACTTGTTAGTCAAGACCAGTGTTTCCTAGATACACACTTGAGCTGTTGAGTCAACGCCCACTTCAGCTACACATATTTATCTCTCTGACGCCACATTAGTTTTTGATTTGTGGTAAAGAATTTTATAATGACTTATTAGGCAATTGCATCATAGGTTAAACCATGGCTTATCTCCATATATAAAGGCCAGGGCCTGTTTTAAATAGCTGAAACCTCATTCTTTATCATGCAATTGCTTGTTTAATGCATGTGAGGATAATGCATTTCATTACTTGCATACATCTATGTATTGTAAAGATTGGATCCCCATTTTAAAAAAGTTTATTTCTTGTCTTTCAGTGTTGATGACGTTGCACAAGTAGCCGTTGGTCAAAGCAAAAGGGCGCGTGTTGTGGTTCAACCCTACGAGCTCAGCAAGCAGCAGATGGCAGAAGCACGTGTGCTCACCTGCAAAGTTCCAATTGGGTATGACTGGAGAGTTCGGGAGTTGTTACAGAAGGCACATGGGATGAAATCCATTGAATGGATGAAGGTAGATGAAATGTTTCAATAATTTGCTGGGATTGAAATTTTTATACCAGTTGTTTGGATTGCTGGACAATGGCAATTTACCTTTGTTCATTATTTTTCTGCACTCAAGGTATGCAACATGTCACGGCGTTCTGTGAGGGAGGTCCTTACCCACCTCCTTCGACTTCCCAAACACAAAAGCTGTGGACAGGAGATCTCAGTAAGGTTTTCCGGGGATGGACGACAGGTCACCCGGAACAACAGGATAGGTGCAGTTATGGGCACTGTCCGGATTGTCCCCAACAGGAACACCATCAATGCGAACTTGGACAATGCCCAGCTGCACCACTCCATAGATGAAGAAGCGTCCGTTTTCATCTATGAAGGTGAGTTTTTAAGACATTTGTGTCATACAAGTTAAGTCTTGTATTTTGCCAACAAGAAGTTTGAATGTAAGCACACCTGCCTCGTGATAACCTGTTCTAAGGTTTAATGTAATAAACACACAGCAAACAATTTAAATAAAGATGTTTCTATTCATTAATAATCTCAGGAGGTGAGGACTATGAAACACAGCAGAAAACAGCTGCACTTGTGTACCAAGAAATAGAAGACATCAGGCAGAATGGCATTGTGATTGATGGAAAGCTCATCAAAGTCAAATGGTATGCTGAACAGTGTTTACTGCCGTTAGATTTCATATATTTACCACATGTACAAATGTAAAAGCCTATCATCAAAATACAATAAGTAATAGACAGTAAACTTGAAACTATGAATGTCAGTAAAGAACCAAGTTAACCACATGTATTATAGTTTATCTAAGCTGTGTTTCTGTCCACCATTCAAATCTAGGTACCTAACAGCTGACTGGAAGTACATGGCAACACTTCTAGGGCTTAACCAGGCCAGCAGCAAGGCATTCTGCATCTGGTGCCACTGCACCAAGAAGGACATCTGTGACTTTGACAGTAAGTATCAATGCTCTAGATCTTACAAGATTTTATAGATGGTGATGTGCTTTGCATACACTGCACTTCCTTCATCACTCAAATATGAATATAACCACAGTCGGCTTGATGAAAATTTCTTCCGTGCAGTTGACAGCTGGAACATCCAGAGAAAACCTGGCGATGACTACAAATACGCAGGAAAGAGGGACCACAAGGGGCACATTCTCCCAACCCTTCTACACTTCCCTTTTGAGGAAATAGTTCCAGACGTTTTTACACATGGTACATCTTTACTGAAATATTGTTCATGAAAGCGTTTTGAAAATTTAGTTTCAATACATCAATTTGCTTTGCTCAATACTGATGATGTCCCTTATACACATTTCAGGGCATGAGAATCCGGGGGAAGATGTTAAATCAGGTAGGAAACTTAAATTTTTCTTCAATTTTTCTTTTCTAATTTCCTTTCAAAGCTATCTACTTTAGTAGTATGGTTGGATCTTTATGGGAATTTTACCTCATATACAGGTGGTTGTGTGGGCCATAAACCAGAAGAGAACAGAGCAGCTGCTGAGTGCCATGAAAGACATCGGTGTGCCGTTCAGGCTGATGGAGGGAGCGGGGGATGATGGGCAAGGATCCATCAAAACATGGACGCAACTTAATGGTGAGATTGATAACTTATTCCAGTATGGTTTACATGCTCTAAAAATTTCAGACCTTCTAGCCAAGGTATCAATAAGCACAGAGACATGGGCTAATACTGACTTCATTTACAGCAAAACAACTTGAGCGGGTGTTTGCCAAGCTCGACCTTAAAGCTGTGCTCATGGACAGGTGGACCCCAAGGGGGCTAACAATCGCCAGCCTGTCCGTTGCGCAGCTTAAGATCGAGCTTCGCAAACACGGATTAGAGGAGACTGGAAGGAAGCCATCCCTTGTGAGAAGGCTTGCCAATAAAATTTCCATTTGTCTTCAAATAATTTGCATGTGTATAATTGTGTCAACAACACAGCAATAATTAAACACCATCGCTAATTGACTAAAAATTTCATCTAAATCATTCATGATTAAGTAACCCTTACGTCATCATTGCCATGTGTTGAAAACCTTCCCCCATTTGCCTTTTGGGCGCGTTCGAGAAGAGGTTAAGGTCGTTCTGAAAAACAGACGGTACGAAAAACGGACCAGGAAAGCAAGGTATTGACTTTTCTTGATATAAATGTGTCATCACCTTCCTTCTGAAAGCCAACATGTCATCTTTTAATCAAACTTCAAGCACAAACAAGAGTTCGTAAATCTCAAACCTCCATAAAATAGGGTGTTAATATGCATAATTTGCATCTAATAGTGTACATGTCTGAAAAACCTTCAATTCCTTTCTTTCAAATACAGCTGTTAAACTTCTAGTGGTCCCGGGTCATGTAAATAATGCCACCCGTGAGGTACCCCGGTGTATGTTGTACGGTGGCAGATACCAGCTGCAAATTCTGCTTCAGTACCAAGGTCATCCACCAAGAGACCCATATTTGACCTTGACCTTCGTCTTCCCAAGACTTACCAACATAGCAAATATCATCATAATCCATAAAGGCGTTATGAAGTTATGCTGACTACAAATGTACGGGAAACACACACACACACACGCGCGCGCCAAAAAAACAATAGCTCCATTTTCATGGAGGTAATAAAGACATCTTCAATATATCATTTCTGTAGAAAGGCACCACCAACCACAACATCGCCAGCGCTGAGGGTTACAGTAACGAGGCCAAATGGGACTCTGTTGGCCTCGGCGGAGGAGAGGTCTCGTCAGGGGGAAGCAGGTAAGTAAAACAAAATCAGCAGCAGCAAATTCGCCGTAAGGCGTAATTGGTCCCTTACATGTATATACTACATTACGCATAGGCGTTACCTTTATACAACGTAAAATGTAATCCGTGAATTACTAGTACACCGTAAGCTGATTTCAAAATCGTCCTGATTAACGTAATTCGTAAACTGCGTCCATGATTTTGCGCCATTCGTAATCACTATGCTCCCCTTCCCCATGCCGAAGCAACATGCTGACAAGTCTTTTCAAAAGTTAATGTGATAGGCCAACTGATAAGAATACCTTTCTGTTTCAGTGACTTTACATGTCCAGGAACTCACTGAAGAAGGCAGACAGCATCCTGCCTTCGCACAGCTTGCTTCGGTAAATCTGAGTAAATACATCTGAAGACATTAACCGTTTATCGTTTACTTCCTCCCCTGTCTTTGCTGTGAATAAATCAACCGAGTTATTTCACGCATACATAAGTATATGTAGAGACGGTAAATGATGATTAGTACAACAGTTGCATCTGTTAACAGTGTTTTAATTTGTGCCAGGTGACATCACAATCGACATGAGCATCTTCCTGATAAGAATAGAGAAAGTACAGTAGAATAGTATTATAATTATAATCAATTGTTTATTGCAAATTCTTGCCCGAGGGCTAATTGCAGAAACAGAAGAGATATGGTATAAAAACAGACAATAAGTACATATAGAACTATTGATAACTACTAAGAATCTACTGTTAAAAACTACTGGGTTTCACTTTTTGAAGACAGAGGAAGACAAAGGATCCCACTTTTTCTATAATTTGTGGGTTTTCGGATGTTAAGAGGAGAGTGGTTTTCTTTTCATTTGTATATGTGTGAAAGTTTGGGTAGAATCTGGAGGCTACGTCAAAGAGTTCATTTCGGTCATTGCTATAGAGGGTACAATTTGATATAAAATGCGTTTCGTTCGTTCCACATATTATTGTTATATATATATATATATATATTCTAAATTCAAAAGTGCTAGAAATCTATACATTACAACAATACTATATACTACCTATCATCTACTGTTAGTTGCCCTTTGTTCTCTTTTTTGAAACATTTGGAAACATAATTAATTAATAACTTTACATTCGTTCTTGCATGACATCGTGTTTAAACATTGTCCTGCTTTGACATTTTCTTACATTATGTTGTCNGTATCATCAAGATAGATGGCCATAAAATGACTGGAATTCATTTATCTGAGCATAGATTGATAAACTGTCCTTCACTTTTAACAGAACAACAGCAGATTGAGGAACAGGAGGAAGATGAGGATGAGGGTATGATGGATGATGGTGTGATGGATGATGGCGATGAAGCATAAGATTGTTCTGTCCTACCTGTTTGGGTGGAGTGTGTTTATAAGCTCCCTGGTCAGCACTAGCGTAAGCCACCCGTCATCGTTATGCAGTATTTCCTAAAGATATTTCAACGCACATTTTAACACCATTTCTTTTTCTGTGTATGCACAGTACAATTGTATACTTAATGTGAAGTGAGATAGACATATATTTATTTACCTAGTACTATATGTATGTATGTATTTATTGATTGATATAAGTAGTCCTTATGTATTATATGTGTTGTTACTCTGTACTGTGTACAAGGTGAAACCAGTGTTACAAGGTGTAACAAGTCGATCGGTGTAATATAGCCAGCTGCCGCCGCGCAGCGTGCCTGCGAAGCTGGTGTGTTACGCTGAAAGGCGGTTATACCGGCTATACAGATACAGATATGTGTTATTTTTCATAATATGTGTGTCTATACCTTCGGGGAGCACTGGGAGGGGCGAAGTCTCTCTGCACGTTTGTGCTTGCACCTGGGGCATGCAGAGTGGTCATATCTGACCACAGGCCTGTAGCCCCAGGTGACACGCACACCTGTCACTAAGATAGCAGACGATGTCTTCAGGTGTTTCTTGTGCCATCCTATGCCTAACGCCGGAGACAGTTCGCTTGGATGGCAGGAGAAGGTCTCTGGTTGCCCAGAGCCACCTGCCACCCACCCCACTATGGTCAGAGGACGAAAAAGCTGAAATAAGAAAAAAAACAGATTGTATATATGTATTGTACATAACCTTTATATATACCTTGTATATAACATGTACATATACCTTGTATATAACCTTGTATATAAAAAAATTGAATACAACCTTAATATATACCTTGTATATAGCTTATATGTATATATATATATATATATATATATTACATATATACCTTGTCGAAATCTGCGCGTGGGAAGGGGAGGGTCAGGCTGGCCTTGGTGTTGTACTGACCAGCTCTGTGGCTACCCTCTCCTAGGGCAGTGTAGATAGCCGTCTTGAGGTACTGTAGAATCGATGCCTCGTCTTCTTGGATCCCTCCCCTACCCAGAGTGGTGGCCTCCATGTAGTGGTGGAGGTAGGCCTCCAACTCTGGGTTTTCCTGGAGAGGTACCCAAGAAAACTGCCTCCCAGGCCAACTTCCTGCCCACCTGACTTTCACCTGCAAATTGAAATTGTTTATTGAACCAGATGTGTATTTTGCATAATACAACAGATGTAATATCATGGTTATGTACATGTATTTTACAACTGTAAATAAAGCTTTGCTACTCGTGGTTTTATGGAGATTATCACATACATGCATCAATGTTTTTTTTTAGCCATGTGTGGCCTACCTACAGTGTATAGCTTTTCTCAAAATGAGGCCCAGTGATGACTGATTTATACGAAGACAATTCTAGATATTAAGTACTTATAATCGTTTGTACGAAGAATCACAAGATGATACATTACAGCCAAATATAGAGTTAAGATAACTGAGGACAGCTGAAGTATAATAAGTAAACTTTACCCAGACGTGTCCGCCCCTGTCCTCCTCTCCCACCACATCCTCCACTTGATACAGCTTTGGAGGCTGTCTTCTTCTTTTCCTTAGTACTTTCGCGAACTGTTTGTCCCCCAAAAAATCCTCACCATAAGGGTTCCAAGCCATGTCAACAGTAGAACTGGTATAAGAACTATAAGGCCTTTCGCAACACGTGTGACACAAGATATTTCCTGGTGCCAGGAATGAAGGTCAGGAAATCGCGCGGGGGCCCAAGGTGTCAATCACCATGCCCCGGAGGCTTGACGCAAGGCACGCACTGTAAGCCCCAGGGCAGCTCATAGCCACTCCTACATTACCATGTATGGACTTGTAGGAGGAGAGAAGGGTGTATGTCATCTAATTGGTTTCCCCTGCTGGTATACCCCCAGTTGTACCCCTGTATTTTGTAGTGAGCAGCCAGAGCTTGTGTAGACACAGACTAGACTTACATTGGTCACATCAAGTTTTCTGGCACAATGTTAAAAACATTAATCAGTATATCTTATATGGGGACTGTGAGTAGGGTGCAGTGACTAAGCATCTTGTATGCACCTATATGGTTAGTTCTGACAGTTCTATGTATAGTTTTGAGCCATTTGCAAACTAACGTTTCAAGAATTGCTATTTGAGTATTAATACTATGATGATATTTGTATCTGGTGTATTCACCCATGCCGTGGGATCGAATGATAGCACTAAGGCACAAAGAACTTGTTTCACAAACACAATGACATCATAATCATCATATCTCACGTCATTCTTTATTTGTTAAGTCACGGTGGTGACTAGCCTCTACCAGGCTCCGCGGATCGCTGGAAAAATAGTAGAAATTGGCCGAAATAAAGGGATAGTATACCATGATCCAGCCTGCCATAGAAGCTCCAATTTGCGACCCACGGATGGGTCGTGGGTCGCAAATTGGAGCTTCTATGGCCGGCTGGATCTTCTCTGGTATACTATCCCTTTATTTCGGCCAATTTCTACTATTTTTCCAGCGATCCGCGGAGCCTGGTAGAGGCTACGTGGTGACGGCACACTAAAGTTTTTTCAACTTATATTAATGCCGCCACCAACACAGGGGACAATACAATAATCATTTTCACCTGAGCGAAGTGAAGAAAGTCGCATAAAGTGCCTTTCCCAAGGGCACAAGATCGGTGGCATGTCGGGACTCGAACCCTGGACCTCTTGGTTCCGAGTCGAACAATCTGCCGCTACGCCACAGGACTCGCCACATTTTTTTTTGTAATTGTCTGCACGTGTTTCTTCGGCGAGATGGAAACTATCAGACGACAGCAAAGATTCAATTTGTTAAAGCACCAGTGCAAAAGTACCAGAGTATCGAATACAAACAAGCAACAAGCAAAGATGGGCAACAAGAGACTACGTCTAACCGACTCTAACGGAAAAATAGACGTCAAGCGGAGACAACAACAACAACATTGTAGCTAAAAGAGATACATCTAAAAAGCAGGAATAAAGGACAGAAAAGGTTGGGTTTAAAGGGCATAAGCCCGGATTTCAACATCCGTTGACGTGCAACGTGTCGAAGTACTTTCGTCGTTAACTAGTCTGGAAAGCCCAATACATAAATCTCTCATACCTACAGCTACCAGTGCAGGTGAAGAAGCAGTGGTGAAACGGACATAACCTCGTGTACGTTTGCTCGTATGTACACTAACTGTCTCAGCGAGTACAACTTTATCCACTATATCCTGGACACCTCGCAAAGATATTTTCACTGTCCTACATTCAAACAAGACGTTAAAGATATTCTCCTGTCAAATAATAAGCTACACAAGCTGCGAGGCCGGTCTGCTCTGAACCGAGACCAAACCTCGGCCTTTTTCAGCCGTCCAAAGGAAGAAACTGAACCTGCTGGAAAGGAAAAAAATCTACAAACAGGTACTATGTTTAAATTTGATATTATTTACAATATCAACCTGAGAATAGAAAGCCATGAAGAATCGCTTTAACCTGGATATTAATTGGTTACGCTAATAAGTTGTCTTTTTGCTTGTTATCGTTGTAGCCTTTTTTAAGACTTGTATACATGGTCCGCAAAGAACTAATCGCTGCTAGACAAGTTCCAGACACCTTGCTGAAAGATATAATGTATAACGCTTTCAAGAGTAAGGTTATAGTTAAGTTAAAGCTAAAGAAAATAGCCTACAGGTAAGTAGTAAGTACATCATGAGATACATGTAAGGCCACACCGTCTTAATTTTATAGATGACATCCTCTAAAGACCCCCAAACTAGTGCGCGCGGGCCTGTGGGCGGGCCTGTGGTTATACAAAGCTGGTATTATGAATTTACGAAAGTATGCGTATACAAAAAGTCGGCCCTTTTCGTATGTACTGAGTTCTTGAGTCGTGGAGCTTCAATAGAATGGGTGCCCAGCTCCGTATTGTCGCTAACTGCCATGGACTACCCAGGCCTAGAGCCAGGACAGATCCTCGGTGGACGTGATTTTTTACCATTTTCGCATGCGCGAAAATGGTAACTCAGACGAGATTGACATTGGATGCATGGATGGATGGATCAACGGTTCCACCCTTCAACGGCCATGCAGACATGCTAAGTCACCGCAAGTCGCTAGATGTCGTTGTTGCGAGTGCACTTTTTACCATTTATGCCTTGGACGTTTGTATACTTTCCATTATGGTTGCTAATTTCAAAATCATAGTTCTATTAATGTTGCACAACAAAGCTGCTGACAAAACAAACTTAATTTGTCTTGAACAATAACTTGATTTTATTATTTGCCAAAAATGTTGATAAAGACATGTCTATAATCACAGTAATCAAGGATTTTAATAAACTGCATAAATTATGTCAATGAGCATTAGCAGTGTGGATTAGTCTAGATGTTCAGATTTCCATTAGCCGGCAGTCCAGAGGGTCACACGTCCGACCAATCAAGGCGCTGCAGGCAAAGCTTATTAAAAGCCTCCTTTTCAGGCGTTCCCGGATCG